AGAGAGAGAGAGAGAGAGAGAGAGAGAGAGAGAGAGAGAGAGAGAGAGAGAGAGAGAGAGAGAGAGAGAGAGGCACCTACCTTGGATGAGGATGCTGGAATTGGGTTGCTGATCTGCCTTGATGAGCGCTGGTGACTCGAACTCTGAAACTGCTTAATATGATAATTTGCTGGAACTTCTCAGCTGCGCGTATGTGGACTTTGCATCTCTGGTCTCCTGTGTGGACTTTGTGTGATGTCTGATTGTGTGTGTGTGCTCAAGGTGACGATCAGTGAGGCTCAATGCATTTTAAATTGAAGTGCTTCCATGATGTTTGAGTTTTCAAATAAGCATGGACCAAGGACGAACTGGACTAGAGTATAATTATCTGACTCGGGTGCCGTTAAGTTATGATCGAGTCCGTGTATGTATGTATGGATTGCTGAATCACGTCAAACTCAGCGATTTCTATCTACTGTCTGTTTTCGGGTGAGAGAGCCGACTTTCTAACCGATTCAAGATGTGAAATCATTTGTTCAATGTTGGCAACTGTTCGATGAGATGATGTCCATGGCTACACCCGTCGACGTCCTGTCTCGTCCTTCGGTGTTGGAATTTGACTGATGCTTTGATTGTTGCCTTGGGCGCTGGGCTTATTTATAGTAATACAAAAGTCCATCGGGAAAAAAATAAAACGGAAGAATTGCGAAACACCGTGAAAGGCCACTCATGCGCTTAAAATACACCCAAAGATGTGGGTAGAGTGGAAAACCCTTCTGCTTTCTGTTTCCTTCGAAAAATTTGGACCATTTCTGGATTCATGACTGTCATCCTTGCATAGGGACCGTTATGTGAAATTTCAAACGTTCGGCGGATGCCCTTTTGCTTGGATTTAAAATTTAAACCTTTGGAACGGGGTTCAAGTTGCCAGGTTTGCGGGAACTTTGCGCAACACCCTTGTCAGGGGCAGAATGCAAACTTGCGCCTCCTCCTGACAGGGCTAGATAGGAAAGATTGAAATCCAAAAGGGCATTTCACAAGCATTTGATTTATTTTTTTTGAAACTCATTCCGATCTCCCCACATCTTTTTGGGGCATTTTGGCGTGTGCACGAGAGCTTTCAGGGGTACAAATTTTCCCAAAAAAGAAAACACAGGAACGAAATTCAACAAATAGGGAAAAAAGAAAACGAAAAAGAAAAAACTCAGGAACATAGATTCCGTGCCGGTCTTTTTGCGGAAAACGAAGATATTTTTTCTGGCAGAGAATTCATTTTACTCTCGTGCCGGGCGCTCAAAAAAACAAGCGAGTTTAAAGGCTAAGTGTATTTTCGTTAAAGAAAAGCGTTGAGAGACAGTGGCGCCATGAGATCGAGAACCAGCGAGCGCAAACACAAGAAAGGCTCAGATCAGTTTGGTGGGAAGGAAAAAAAAGCATACACTTCACAGGGGCCAACAACTCGCACAGACGCACTCCAATCATGACAGTGGGGCGACACGCGAACACGTTGATGCAGGCAAACAACGCACTGATTTCACGAAATTGAACATAATATGCAGGAATTCATTGGAAAAGACAATTCTTCCTTACGAGAAGAGATCATGGTCACGCTACTATCCCACGTCGTGCTTCGGCGGTCGAGATACTCCCTCAAAATTAAACTCCAACGCTGAGCGCCTTCTGTGGGCGTCGACTCACACTCTAAAGATGTGCGTCACAAACGCACTCATTGAGCTAGCGAACCACAGAGAGAGAGAGACAGAGAGAGAGAGAGAGAGAGAAGAGAGAGAAGAGAGAGAAGAGAGTGAAGAGAGAGCTAAGTAGCCTGCCTCGTTGTTTGCTACGCGGGTCTACTTTACCTTTATGCAATAGTTCTCGCACTCGGCTTGGGGTCTTCCCCAGCGGAAGTGCTACATGCCAGCGTGTTCTTTCCAGGACTATAAACTAAATGACGTGGAAACTCGCTCACCGGCCAGACATTAAGTGCGTACTATATATATAATATTGATCGTAGACTGACCAGTTCCACAACTGGCTAGGCGTCCTATTGAGCTCCATCAGCTAAAAAAGTGCTCCTGGACACACGTTCGATTGCCCGTGTCGGTGATGTCGCCACTTCCTAGCTGACCCCCCCCCCCCTGAGAATGCAGCTGCTGCGGACCGATAGATTAATCCATCCAACCTGAAGTTGATCCCCTACCGGTCGCTCATCCTGCTTCTCTCCAAGTAGCTCTCTCCTGTCGAACGACCGCCTGCCCTGTTGTTGACGCCTGGTTAATTCAGCTTAGGGCATGCTCACACTACGACTTTCTGAACTGGATCTGCCTGCATTTGCCGCCAGCTGCTCCAGAAAAGCTTTAGTACGAGTATGCCCTTAGCACTTCTTCCAGCGCAGACGGAAAAGCTGCCTGAGGCTCAGATCCTGAGAATCGACGGTGATCAAGCCCGCGCTTTTGCTCGGCGCGGGTGGAGGCATCACTCTTGCCTCGGAATTGAGATTGAGCATCAACGGCTGACGGTCACACGGTTGATAGACAAAGGTTACAAACTGGTCAGTGAACTCAAAGTTGCCTTCCACGGGAGGAGGCAGGTTGCGCGAGACTCTGACTGTACCTTGGATACCTGAGAAGTAGTACGCGGCTGCCAGTGTACCCTTGACTCCTTGCTCGAACTGGGCGTACCCTCGGAATGTCACAGTCCCCAGAGTAAACGTGAACCCAGTAGGATACATCAGAGTGACGCCCACTTGGCAGTTTTTCCGCCGATTGGATGTACTTCCTGGGGTGGACACCGTGTACTTGCTGAAAATGAGAGTGAGCGTCTGTCCGTCGGAGGAGACAACGCCCTCGGCACTTCCACGCGGACAGCCACTGCCAGAATATGTGAACTTGGTGATCTTTACCGTACCAGATGGCGGACTTTGAGCGAGTCCAGGAACAGCAAGCTGGAGAAGCCCGAGCAACAGCAGGACCACCATCACCGCCATCGTTCACACGTCGGACTGGAGAACCCTGTGCCTTGCCTTATCCTCTTCTTCTTYACTTCTCGCCTCACCTTGCTCTCGTCTCCGCGCGCCCAGCAACAGATGAGCAGTTCCGGCAATGGCAACAGATAATAACACAGCGGCTGCCCCACTTCGCCGCTCCCGGAGCTGTGCGCCTGGAGTCGCCCCCTCCCTCTCCTCGGCTGAAATGCCGTGGAAGAAGAGGTAGCAGACGCCACTTCTGGCAGCTCCCGCCCGCGATCCCCGAAGACCACCACGATCACTAAGCAGATCGTAGCGCACTGTATGCAGAGTGCACGTTAGTGCACCTTTATACACAGCCGGAGATGAACTTTGCCTGTGTTCGTCCTCCGAGCACAACGCTTCGAGATCACAAAAAAGCACGCGACTGCTGTGAAGTCAGGTGACTGTCCACAGACTCCTTGTGAGGGTGTGCTCCCCTCGCGGAGGAAAGCAGCCTACAGGCGTACCATGTGGCAGTGTGGAGAAGACATGCCTATCAAATAAATTTACAGGAAGAAAAACCCGAAAGCCGGCCCCAATTCC